ATATTTTTTCCTCGTATTTTTGCGTTCTGTCTGGGTTGAAAAAGAAAAGAAAAAAGCAACTCATCTCGTCAACTAGTTCTCTAGAAAAAAATAAATATTTGCCGTCATTGCCCAAGAAAGATGCGCATAGGCCTCACACCCTTTGAGTCAATATAAAAGCCAACACATTTCTCTATCTTCACTGTTTTCGTCTATATTATACTTAATAAATGGTAGATTTTTGCACTGAATATAAAGGCATGCAAATTTTACTAAAATATAAAGTCGAATATTCACAAAATTTACTTTTTTTTCTCTCTCTTTCTAATTTTATTATTTCTAGAAGAACGAATATTATTAAATTGCACTAATAACAACAGTGATTATAAAATGACTACTCGACGATTTCTCACCGGTTATGATGTTTTACTTGATCGACGTGCTAATAAAGTGAATATTTTTAAATAATTAATTATTTAACTAACATATTTATTGTATTATTATCTAGGGTACAGCATTTTCAATTGAAGAACGACAAACATATCGTATTCATGGTTTATTACCGCCAACAGTTGCAACACCTGAATTACAAGTTGAACGATTTATGGATAATTTACGAAATATGCCCGATGATTTATCACGATATATTGCATTAGCTGCTTTACAAGATCGTAATGAAAAATTATTTTATCGTGTAGCTATGACATATACACAAGAAATCATGCCACTTGTTTATACACCAACTGTGGGTTTAGCTTGCCAAAAATACGGTTTAATTTTTTCAAAACCAAAGTAAATTTCTATTGAAAAACATTTTTAGCTTTTCTATATACAATTTTATAGAGGTTTATTTATATCGATCAATGATAAAGGTCATATTTATGATGTTCTTAGCAACTGGCCTATACATGATGTTCGCGTATGTTTGTGAAATTTATTTTTTCCTATTGAAATATTTTGTATTATTAGGCAATTGTTGTTACTGATGGTGAACGTATATTAGGTTTAGGTGATTTAGGTTGTAATGGTATGGGTATACCAGTTGGTAAATTAAGTTTATATACAGCATTAGCTGGTGTTGCACCTGAATATTGTTTACCAATAACACTTGATGTTGGAACAAATAATGAAGTATGTAAAAATCTTCTGTAATGTTCTTTTATAATCTTTTTTTTTGAAAGACTTTTCTTAAAGATAAATATTATTTGGGTTTACAACATAAACGTGTTACCGGAAAAGAATATGATGAATTCATTGATGAATTTATGCAAGCTGTTGTTAAACGGTAAAATATATTATTTGATTATAAAAATTTATTAATTATAAAAATATTCATATTTAGATTTGGACAACAATGTTTAATTCAATTCGAAGATTTTGCTGTAAGTTTATTGAAAAGAAAAAGTTTAATAGTAAAAAACAAAAAAATTGAATTTTTTAGAATCATAATGCATTTCGTTTATTGGAAAAATATCGTGAACATTATTGTACTTTTAATGATGATATCCAAGGTACAGCTAGTGTTGCTGTCGCAGGCATACTCAGTTCACTTCGTATTACTGGACGAAAATTATCCGATAATACATTTGTCTTTTATGGTGCTGGCGAAGTATGATAAACTATTTTTATTGAAAAACAATTTTCTATTTATTTATTTTATTAACAAAAAAAAACTAGGCTTCAATTGGTATGTCGGATTTACTTGTTGTAGCAATGGAACGTGAAGGTGTATCAGTTGAAGATGCACGAAAGAAAATATTCTTAGTTGATTCAAAAGGACTTGTTGTTAAAGTAAGTTTATGACTAAAAAGAGGGAAACTTTTGTTTTATTTCTATTCATAATATACAATACAAAGAACAATTTCTTTTTCAAATAGAATAATAATTACTTTCTATTGAGAGCATCTAAGAAATAAGATAAAAACTAAGTGTTCGTTATTATCTTGAGATAGTGAATATTATCAACTGGGATTATGAAAATAAATGACAAAAGATGAAATAATTATTTTTATTACATTATATTTACTGTCAAAATGTATTAAGAAATGATTATAATTGATGTAATTATGATGATAGACTTTATTTAATATTTAGGATCGTCCAACTGGTGGTTTAAATGAAGAAAAAAAACGATATGCACATGAACGTGAATGTATTGTTAAATTAGGAGAAATTGTTAAAGCTTTAAAACCATCATTTCTTATTGGTAAATCGAAATATTTTCGATTAAAATTTTCATAATAAATTTTCGTCAATTTCTAGGTGCTGCCGGTCAAGGTCCAGCATTTACACGTGAAATTCTTGAAGATATGGCTTCATTTAATGAACATCCAGTTATATTTGCACTTTCAAATCCTACATCAAAAGCTGAATGTACTGCAAGTGAAGCATATGAAGCAACCAAAGGTCAATGTGTATTTGCATCTGGTTCACCATTTCCAAATGTTGATTATAATGGAAAAACTTATATACCCGGTCAGGGAAATAATTCATATATATTTCCTGGTGTTGGTCTTGCTATTGTAACATGTGGTATTCGACATATACCTGAAGAATTATTTTATATATCAGCTAAAACACTTTCTGAACAAGTAACTGAAGAAGATTTAGCAGCTGGTCTTGTCTATCCACCAATTGAAAAAATTCATGCAGTATCAAGAAAAATTGCTGTAGCATTAGCAGAATATTCTTATGAACATAAATTAGCTGCACATTATCCAAAACCAAAAGATTTAGAAAAATATATTGAAGAAAATCAATATAAAGCTGAATATTCTGATGCATTACCACCACGATGGGATTGGCAAAAAAAAAATTAATTTCTAAATTATAATTTCGTTCTTTTCTGTTTCTTTTTTGCTTGGGTACATCATAATAAGTTTTTCTTAATTTAATTAAATATAATTCACATCTATTCATTAATAATAAAAAGTAGATCTACACTGAGATACAAAAAAATTTCTATTTTTATTAGAGTATTTCGTCCTAAGCGATCATCGTGTAAATATTGATGACTATTATGAGAATAAACGCACATACATTCTATATACTACAAAGCATATGCAATAGTGATTGATCAATAAAAGAGTATTAAAAGATTATTTGAGGAAAATAAAAAATCAAAGTTGAAGGTCAACAAAATAAAAGAAAAAAGAATGCATCTGATGATAACATTTATCTTGTGTCAATAAATAACAAAAGCAAAGAAGAATAACGAGATATCAGTTTATTTGTAATCGTAACAGTCTTATTCAACTGTTGAGTTTAAAAACAAAACATGTCAAAAACTTGTGCTGTTATTGTTGGTGATATTGGTGGCACTAATGCACGATTACAATTATTATGGTATAGTCATAATCAGACATCATTAACACCATCGATCACATTTATAACTCGACAAACTTATCGAACAAGTATATTTACAGGTCATCATGTTATATTACAACGTTTTATAAATGATATTCAAAATGAAAAACAAGAAGAAGATGTGCTTGATGCTATAAAAAATAAAAAGTAAATGTGTAAATATTAAAAAAAAGATGATAATTTTATATTATTATTTATATATGTAGTATTCGAGTGGTTTTAGCTGTATGTGGTCCTATTTGGAATAATCGTCGAAGTAATGATGCAAATAATGTTCGTATGGAACCCGATGGTGCGAGATGGCCAACACAACATGCAGATACTATTGAAAATGATTTACAACTTAAATCAAATTCAGTAATATTTTTAAATGATTTTGAAGCTATTGGTTATTGTCTTGCTGCACAAGTCGATTCTCAAGCACATGAATTATGTCAATCAACAAAAACATTTGTACTTCATGAAGTTCTTACTGAAGATGGTACAGACACAAAAGCACCAGTAGCTTGTCTTGGAGCAGGTACAGGTCTTGGTGCATGTTTTCTTACACCTGATAATTTCGGTCGATATCAAGTTTATTCATCGGAAGCAGGTATGGTTGATACATTTAGTCCTCAAACTGAAGAAGAATGGTTTTTATTAAAATATTTACGTCGTAATCAATCATTTATTGAAATTGAACAAATTGTATCTGGTCCAGGATTTGTTACAATGTTACAATTTTATTCGGAATATTTAAATCAACCATTAACAATAAAACTTGCAAATGATCTTCAACATGTTTCACAAGATGAGGCACCTGCAGTTATATCTCAACATGCTTGTGATTATAATGATGCATTATGTCTTCGAGCTGTTGATACATTTCTTGATGTTTTTGGTCGTGTATTAGGTACAGCAGCACAAACATTTTTACCTTATCGTGGATTATATATAACTGGTGGTATTTTACCTAAATTAGCTTGGCGATGGAAAAATAATCCAAATAATCTTTTACTTAAATCTTATTTAGATCAAGGAACAAAAATGAGTGAAGTTGTTGCACGTGTTCCACTTACTTTAATTGATGATGATGATCTCGGTCTAAAAGGATGTCTTTATTATATGACTGTTCATAATGATTAATTAGATGATTTAATAAGAGTTTTATTTTTAATTAGATTTTGATTGAAGAAATACATTTTTATCTAATAAACAAAATATTTTCGACAACTCAAAATCAATCACTCTTAAATATTGACATTCTAGGTGATAACTTTTAACTTATGGGAAATACTCTCTAGTTGGTCAACAATGAGCAAACATTTTATCTAAAATCTAATTAACTTAGGTCTCCTCGATTTCTAAGTATTCTATTTCTATAGAGATCATATAAGTTCGAGTTCATTCCAAATCATAATTCAGGTATGTATGTTGTTTTTTTTTCTAACAAGAATAAATCATTCATATGTAATATCAATCGTTTCTCATGAGAATAGTTTTAAGATTAATAATACTAGAAAATCAATTAATCGTGTCGTCATAGAGAATATATAACTAACATTCTTCATAAACAAAACTAAAACAATAAATTCTCTTAGGAATTTATCATATTTTATTGTTAGTTATATTTCTCATTTCATACATTCATTCATTCACTCAGCACGATATCGATAATGTGGCTCATATTATTTTACTTCAATATTCTTCTTCTTCTATTTCCTACTCTTACGAATACTAATGGTCAAAATTTGATAAAATTTGATGCAGAAACTTTAAATAAATTACGATTAACATCTTCAAATCTTTTAAAATCAATATCTTATATTGATTTTGAATTATTAAATGAATATCAATGTGCTATTGAATGTGTAAAAGATCAATCAATATGTACAGGTTATGCATATAATGCAACAAATAAAATATGTTCATTATATGAAGATTCAACTAAAACTGTTAGTTCGGATATTATTAAATTAGTAAGTTTAGTTAAATTTTAAAATTTTATAAAAATAAATAAATTTGCTTTTAGCGAGAAGAAATTAAACCAAATGTTTGTGACAAAGTTAAATGTAAACCGGGTGCCATTTGTGTTGATTATGATAGTAATGGTAAAAAAGTACCAAGTTGTGTTTGTTTAAATGGACAATCAACACCTGATGATTGTGATAAGATAGGTTCGAATATTCTTTTTTGTTTTGCTAAATGTAAGAGCTAATTTGTTTCATTTTAATCTATAGAAAATAATGTATGGACAGATTATAACGATTGGTCACCATGTAGTGTAACATGTGGTGAAGGTTATCAATTTCGTAAACGTGAATGTTTATCATCTAATGATAAAACTCGAAAGATTTCAACTGATAATTGTATTGGGCGAAATATAGAAACAAAACCATGCGATATAACAACTTGTCCAGGTAAAATTTTCTTTTTGAGATTATTTAAATGAATTTTATTTTATTCTCAATTAAGTTTATGGTACATGGACACAATGGACACCATGTTCAACATTTTGTGGTATTGGTTTAAAACAACGTAATCGTTCATGTATTCCACCAGGTTCAAATTGTGGTAATTATACACATGAACAAAGAGCTTGTGGAGAAGCCAATTGTCAACGTGTTGCAGGTAATATAAATATATATATTCATTAAATATATATATATTTTTTTTTCTTATTAGGAATAAAACAAACTGAACCAGAAAATTATCCATTAAAAGGATATTTAGCTATTCGAGAAGGAGATATTTTATGTGTACCACAAAATAGTTCAGTAATGGCAAAACATATGGCTGATTTAGTAAGAGAAAAAAAATCATATTATAGAATTCGAAAGATTTTCTTTTGCTTTTATTATTATTATTAAGGTTTGTAAATCAATTGGTCTTTCACGTGGTGCACAATATGGTAACTAAAATTGAATCGAATTTTTTTATAAATATGATTTATTTTATTTTAGCTTTTCTTAATCCAATTCGATTTAATTCTACTTGTTATCCTGGTATTTTATGTGATGGCACAGAAAAAGATTTTTATGATTGCAAATATGATCGAAAATTAGGATTAAGCGATATAAGTGAATTATTTGCAGTTGTTGCAAGATGTATCGGTAAGATTTTCTTTTTGTTTTTTTTTATTCAATAAAATATATGTATTTATCTTCTTAAAGTCGATGGTGGATTTTCATCATGGTCGGATTGGACACAATGTACAAAAACATGTGGCACAGGTCAAACATTTCGTTCTCGTACATGTACAAATCCATCACCATCAATACCTGAACCTGAAACAATGAATGATGATCTTTCATCATTAGCTGGAAAGAATTGTACTGGTGATTTTCAACAAGTTAAAACTTGTAATGATCAACCATGTTAAATTATATTTATTTCATTAATTAAGAAATGACAAAACATAAAAGAATACTTTCTCATATATATTATATATTTATATGTCTTACAAGAAAAAATAAAAGATTAAAATTTAGTCAATTTTTTGTTTTCTTATTTAATATCCACGACGTTGTTGTAATGATTGTTGATTACTATCATTCACTGACCATATATGTTTATTAATAACTATTCTTTGATGTCTATATATGGCAAAATTTCCACGAAATGATGCATTTGTTGCAGCATATAATATCGGGAAAATAAATGATTTAATCATAAGTATATAATAAGTTATTTGTAATGCACGTTGAATTTGATATGTATGGTTGAAAATAATAATAATACGAATTATTATCCAAGGAAACCAAAATAAACAAAATGTTATACCTAATAAATAAACATGCCATGTCATTTGTTGTTGTTCAATATATGATTTTCGTTCAGATGCTTCTAATCTTCGTGGTCGACGTTTACATAAATGTTTCATAAGAAAAAGTAAACCTATGAAAATTATTAATAATGGTAAAATATAAATTATACCAATTTCTGTATAAGCCATCCATAATGGATGATAAATGGATGTTGTATAAGTTGTACAATATGATGTTTGATTTGATGTTGTTGATGTTTCTGTCAAAAGATAATTTGAGTAATTTGTCATAAATGGTATTCCATAAAAGAGAAAAAGAATAACCCATGATAATAAAATTAATATTAGAAGAAAACGACGATCAATAACTGGTGTTGGTTGTTTTAAACTATATAAACGAGTATAGATCATAAAAGCAATAGCATATATAATAGCTGCTAATGCACAAGATTCACCAATTGCTAATGCAGTACATAATTTAGATGTTAATGGACTTCCATAAGCGCTCATAAAACGCATAGGAAGAACAAAACCACCAATAAATAAATCAATAAATGCCATACATAATACAAAAACATTTGACCAATGTTTTCCATCAGCACGTACGAGATATGTGATGAATACGCATAACTAAATTTATAGATTTTTAAAAATTAAAACAAATATTATAATCTAAACTTACATTGCCAATCACAATAGCAACAATAAATACTAATAAAGTAAGTTTTTCTAATGTCGATGACGAATCTTCATATTCCATTGTCATCGGTGTGTTCTTTAATGAAGATAGAAAAAAAAGAAATGATTGTATTTCTTATTTCCGATTTAGAATATAAAGTAAGTGTAAGAGAGTGAAAAAAAAATGAGAAAATAAAATCTCTTATTCCATTTAGATTCATTAACAATAAAAGTGTTATAAGTATATAAAAGAAAAAGCATTAGATATACTATTATCTTCAATAGACCATTTAAAATTTCATATTATAGTATTTTCAATAAGATAGAATGTATTACAGATAGATATTCTATATAATTTTTTGGAATTAAAATAGAATGATTGTATAACACAAGATGTAATTTATCTAATGTATGAATTAAAAAATAAATTTCTTTTTTTTTTAGTGTCAAATTAAAACTGCCATTTTTAATTAACACATATTTTCTTGTTTGTTATCATATCATGTAAAAAAACTGAAAAGTATTTGAGTGCATAAGCAGAAAATGTGTCTAGGCGATAAAAATGTTCCATTATTTTTAAGTTTTTAAATGATTTTTATATGGAAAAGATAAGTTTTTCATCAACATAAATCATGAAAAGCTTTTGACGCAGTTTGATATTTCATAAAGATCTTTAAAATGTTTTTCCTATCGAATATACAAGTTTGTTGGTGCTGTTGGACTATTAAATGAATGAAATTCAATCAAAAAAATCGCACTCTATACTCATATCCGATGTTCATTACGATCTGTCAAATGTAGACTAACACATATTTCTGATTGCAATATTACGAACATGTTAATTGAGCTATGTAATTTCCGATATTTTTAATGCTTTATGAATTTACGTCAGTAAAATTTTAATTACATCGTACTTGTTGAAATATATGTGTTAAATTTATCGTCACTAAAATGTGAAAGAAACAAAATAAATTAGTTTGTTCTATACTGACATCTTCTACATAGCAACGACTTTTGTACGGAGGCCGTTGCTCAGTTGAAGTTGATGTAAAATCGATACTAATGATGATCAATAGTTATTCTAACAAATCCTTTTTATATTTTAATCAGAAACATGGACATGCAATATGTTTATACGAAGAAACGATCAGAGTTTGGTCGTCAAGTATATTTTACAGACCGAGCTGTTGAAATAACTGCTGATATTCAACCAAATCCTGAGTTACTTCATGATTATATTCCTCGTAATCCAGTTGATACTGGGACACAAAATGTCCGTGAATTTTCTGAGCATTGGGTAAGACATGAATTTTCTTTTTTTAAATTAATATTTTACTTAAAACTTTTAATTTAAGGTAAATACAGTGCGATTTGAAACAGAACATCGGGGTGTTAATCATGTTGAAGGTGGTTGGCCTAAAGATGTGAATCCACTTGAACCCGATCAAACAACACGTTTTCGAAAGAAAACTGAAAAAGAAGATGGTTATGGACGTGCTGTTGTATCACTTGGACAAGTAAATACTTTTTTTTTTTGTGGATAGAAAATTATTTCATATTAACTTATTTTAGTCAATTGCACATACAATTAAACAAAATAATGCAATTGATATTTATGAAAATTATTTTCAAAATATAGAAGCCGATGTTGTTGAAGAAGCACCTTTTGCTAAAACTATTAATATCTATCGGTAGAAATTTTGAAATTTTCTATATAAAAAACAAATTTTGTGAAATTTTTTAGTGATCCACATTCTACTCGACGTACAGCTAATCATATATCATGGAATGCTGATGGTGCACGTAAAATAGCTGTTTCATATTGTAATTTGGAATTTCAATCAGCTTCAAATGACGCATATATAGATTCATATATTTGGGATATTGGTATGTTATTATTTTTTGTTTTATTCTATTCTAAATAAGAATTCTTCTATTAGAAAATCCTACTAAACCTGATTTTTATCTTAAACCAATATCACCACTTGTTTGTGTTGAATTCAATCCAAAAGATGCTCATCAACTTGTTGGTGGCTGTTATAATGGTCAAGTTTGTAAGTACAACTAAATTTTTTAAAAATTCAAAGAAAATATTTTCTTTAATTTTCTATTCATAGGTATATTCGATACTCGAAAAGGTAGTACAGCTGTTGAACAATCCCTTATTGAAAATAGTCATCGAGATCCAGCTTATAAAACAATTTGGTTACAATCAAAATCTGGTACTGAATTTTTTTCTGCATCAACTGATGGCAAAGTATTTATTTCATGTTTTGTTTTTCTCTTTATATAAAAATATAAATTCTTTCTTTTTAGGTACTTTGGTGGGATACAAAAAAATTATCGGAACCAGTTGATACATTAATATTAGATATAGAAAAGAAAGGTCGATTAGAAAATGCTCTTGGTGCTATGACACTTGAATATGAACCAACTATTGTAAATATATTTATTAATTATTTTATGTTTTTAATATCTAATTGTTATATATATATAGCCAACTAAATTTATGGTTGGTACAGAACAAGGACGTATTATATCATGTAATCGTAAAGGAAAAAATGATGCAGAAAAAATTGGTACTGTCTTTCCTGGACATTGGGGTCCTGTTTATGCACTTCAACGACATCCGTATTTTACAAAAACTTTTCTATCTGTTGGTGATTGGACTGTACGTATATGGTCTGAAGAATTACGTGATGATTGTATTATGTGGACAAAGTAATTTAAATACGAATTGATTTTTCTAAACAAAAAAAACAATTTTTTTAATACTATTTAGACCAAGTATGCATGCACTTACCGATGCTCAATGGTCACCCATACGAGGATCTATTTTCTATACAACTAAAATGGATGGTAAAAATTAAGAAAAAAAAAGAATATCCATATAAAATTTGATTTTCTTAAGGTACATTGGATGTTTGGGATATATTATTTAAACAAAATGAACCAACATTATCAATTCAAGTTGTTGATGAACCACTTCATTGTTTACGTGTACAAGAAACACATGGTCGTCTTGTTGCTTGTGGATCACAAAATGGTACAGTAACATTAGTTGAAGTTTCTGATAATTTATGTACGCAAGGTAAAAGTGAAAAAGGTTTAGTCTCGGGAGTAAGTTAATTAATTCTATTATTAATTTGAAAATTTTATATTAAATTATTTTTCATAGATGTTTGATCGTGAAACAAGACGTGCTAAAGTTCTTGAAGCTCGAGGTAGAGCTAAACGAGATGCTCGAGGAAAAGCAGGAGCACCAGGCGAAGTAAATTTATTCATTTGTTTTTATTTACTTTTTGTAATTTTGTTTTTTGTTCTTTTTCTTATATTAAAGAAAGGTGAAAAAACAACAACTGAGGGACAAGCTGAAGAATCAGAATTAAAAGAAGGTGATCCAATTGAAAAAGCCGAAAAAGATTTTTGGAAAATTATTGAAGAAGAAAAACGAAGACGAGAAAGAAAAGCATTGGTTAGACATAATTTATTTATTTTATATATACATATATAGTTTTTTCTTGTAGGGTGATGACAAAGGTGCTGGTGAAGGTGGTGCCATGGCTCAAGCAGAACAAGCAGTTCATCCAACAGCATAAACAGTCTAATAATAGATTTATTTTGTAACTTGCCATGCTTTTCTTTTTTCATTATATCGTAATTAACGTTTTTTGCAACCAAAATAAAAACTGATCATCAGATTGATTGCATTTTAATATTCAATTATTTTCACAAATAGGATGTGGGTGTGAGATGGGTGGGTTTGGGTGTTAATTCTGCTATACTAACATCCACACCCTTCTATTTTATTTTTTAGTCAACGATCCAACCATTTGTATTAGCTAATGCTAGTTCATTAACATCAAATACAAATCTATCTAGAGCAGTCTCATCAATAATATCACATCGTTATGAAAATGTAACTACAAACACAATGGAATAATAATCGAAGTGTTTCATTAATTTTTGAAATGAAATCTTTAAATATAAATCAAAGTTATTTATTAATCTATAGATGTGATAATTCACCACAATTAAATAGTTCAATTAATCGAATAGATGGATGATCATTTCTTTGTCCTTCAAGTTAATTAAATTTAGATTTGATAAATGATAAATTTTATAAATATCCTCTTAATAATCTTGAGGATGTGGGTGTGGGTGAGTGGTAGAACAAAGCATCACCCACACCCAAATAGCTAAATGTGCATTTATATTATAATACGAATTAGGCAATTCATGAGTATTTTATTTATTTTTAATTGTGATCACAACCACAAACTGGTACGCTACTCCAACTGTATCTCATATAATACAGAACATCGTCTTTTATACATGACACAACTAAGAACAGAAAAGAAGAAAGATCAAAAGAAAAAGATACAGAATGAGCAGATCCGCCGATAACATCTTCAATAGTGTGCTTGTTGGCACAGACGGGTTACTTTTCTAGTTATATCAGGCCGTGAATCAAAGAGTTGTACATCTTAATTTTCGCGATTGTTGTCGCATACGCAACCAGGAGGTGGATCAAAAAAAAGGACCAGGAGTATTCGAAAGAGGACCACCAAGTTCACCGCGACTATAAAAATTAAGATAATGAAAATAATGAGGAGAAGAATATTCATAAGAACATGTTGCGTCACTACGTCTTTCGAAATCTGGAGGATATAAGCTGATCCAACGTTTGTTATCATCTAGATTCCAATTCTTGTAATTCTGTATCCAGCGCCAGGTTTCAAGATCGCCCTTGAATTGCCAGTCACAGCATCTGCCACAATTAACACAAGGACGACCTTTACAATGAATCTCTCTGTAAGTACCAGGTTTAGCGAATCCTTCGGTTTCTAAATGAAAATCAGAAATTTGATAAGTTTTCTTTCTGTAAAATATGACAAATACTCAGCGAGACGATTATATAAAAAATAGCTTACGTATTTCATTTGATGAATTAGAGCTCGAAGTAACACCTTCTCCACTTCTACATTCTGATTTATGACGAGACCAATCAGTTGATCGACATGCTTTGGAACAATAACAAATCCGACAATATGGACAACGTTTACTTGTACTTGTCAAAACTTGACATTTTATACAGACCGGCATGGTTTTGTAAAATAATATATTTGTTATTCTTATTTCCAACTGTAATTGTATGTAAAATAGTTTGTTTGATCAATTTTCTAAATAAATAAGTAAAAGAATAGCTTGCTTTTTTTATCTTATTCTCATTGTAAGGAGATAATTATCGAACATGTAAGTGAGAGTATCTATACTTAATCTGTTGGTTACAATCTAATCGAGTAATTCTCCTGTTTTCAAAAGACTCTTCACAATGTATAACTTTGAAATTTCATTTATATCGAAAGAAGACTTGTGACTGGGAAAAAACCCTATTAAAAATTATAAAGAAACCTCTATAGTATGCCAATGAATTGTTTTTGTTAGAGATGCCAGTAGTTTTTTATATTTCATCGAGAAAAATGTTTAAAAATTTTTTAGTATTGCAACATCTTGAGGATGTAGGTACGATTCTTTCGGAGAATTCTAGAATAGGATATATCATAAAATTCAAAAACCACTTAATCTATATAATTAATTCTTTTGATAATATAAAAAGCATAAATTATAGATCTTTTTTTGTATTTAAAGTTATTTAATCAATCAACAACAAAAAACTTTAATAATAATTATCAATTCGTTTTATTTTGTTTATCATTTGTGATCTTTTTGTTTTTCTAGTAGATAAATGTTTTTTAATGCAATTAAAAAGAGGATGAATAGTTAATTTAAATAGAATAATTAGGAGTCCAAGTAAATCCAAACATAATACTAAAATCAAAACGAAGAAATTTTATATTTAAAATCGATATAAAATAATTTTACTTGGAAAAAGAATTGTATTAAGTGTAATTTCATATACACGTGCTATTGGTTCTTGAGTATTTTTCATAAAAAATTCGTATTCTTTTATATTAATAACTAAAGTTGTCTTAGTTGATAAATAACGATATGATTGACCTCTTTTTAAATTAAGTAACTCATCTGTTAAACTTGTTGATGCTTATGTAGGTAACCAAAGAGCACTATAAATAGCATCATCATTATCAGAATCTATTGTCATACTTGCTGTTCTATTAATTATTTTAATCATATTTATATTAACTGTTGGATCAGTTATTATTGTTTGATTATAAACATATAAAAATTGACAAAAATTCATTTCTTTTGCAATATATTTCTTAGTTTGAATAGAAATAAATGGAACATTAATAAACATAAACGAATTCCTCCAATAAAATGCGGACCAATTAAATCAAATTTCATTGTTAAAATATGTTCTGAAAGATTTGTTGAAATCATACTGAATTTATTATATCCTCTCAAATATTTTGAAAAGTTGATAGTTACAGTCTAAGTTAAAAATGATACGGCATTTAATTTTTCTATTGAAAACTTTAACTAGATTATTATTTATTCTAAATTGTGGTGTCTAAATATTTTGGCGGAAAGTGCAATATGGATAAATACGTTTCCATTACCAGATTTAATATTACAATACATTTCACAAGAATAAGAGATCTTTAGTCAACGATAATACGTAACATGTGGAAATAGCATGGATACTAAGATGCTATTGAGTTTTGGCAGGTATATCATATCTTATATTTATAAAAAGCTCATAAATTGAAAGGTCCTTGAATAAAACCATCTTAAGGATGTAAGTGCATCTTTTCTTAACTTTTATCCACATTCTAAAATATTTTTATTATATCTTTGACATATTTGCATAAGAAATAAAAGCTTTATAATTTTCTATTGTTGTTATATTTTTTTAAATCATTTTCATTGATTTAATTGTTTTTCCATCAATACATTGTGTTGGAGCACGTCTTATAATATATTTAGTTAATTCTTTTCTATCTACCGTCGAACCAATTCTAATATATTAAATTCTTCTTGCTTCTTCTTCCTTTTTCACTGTTTTATCAAATATTTTTGTAATTAAAGAACTTGTGCCAAGTTTAATATCAAGTTGATCAATAAAAAATAATGATATATATATATATTTATTATAATAGTCTATTAATGTACTTTTTAAACTGATGCTAAAATCTTTAACATAAATTTTTTGTAATGTATTTAAACTATGTTCAAAACGAAACGATAGAATTGTTTCTAAAAAATATTGAATAAAAATAATCAACTAAATTTAATTTAATAACATAACGACTAATGAATAAAAGAGTTTCATTTTCATATATATGACCTTGATATTCAAATTCATCTTCATAATCATGATATTCTTGTGTACCTTTTATGAAGTTCTATACTTTTTAATGGAAAACAATCTGTTGTAGCTGTATGTAATTTATGACATAGATCTCCTGATATACCTTCATTTGTATCAAGTAATTGTGTTTTAAATGTTAAATTTAATTGTTTATCTATTAATAGTGGTAGATACATTTGCAGAATATGATTAAATTGTTCATATAATATTAATAAGCGATTATCAATAATTAAAGTTTTTATTAATAATATTCCAGTTGATGATTTATCATCAAGATTTATTGAATAATAAAATAAAGAAAATAATAGCCAACAAATACAAATATCTTTTTCTCGACTACATAAATCATCAAGAATAATTGTATGGGAAGAAAAAATTCAACGGCATTGATCAATAGTTTTTATTTTGCCAATATTATTTATAATAAAATAAGGTGTTGTACCAAGCCAACTAGTTATTTAATGTTTAAATAAATTTAATAAATATGTACTAATTATTCACATACTAGAATCAGTATGAATACGATTTGATTCTAAAATAATATAGTAAAACTTCATTTAACTAAAAGAAAAAAAACAAAAGAAAAATCTAAAATATTTTATTTGAAAGAATTTATTTACTTGAATGCATAAATATAGAATGAGATCAAGTAGAGTTTGTAAACCACATTGATTATTAATAATTAAAATAATATTTACTTTACCATAATCTTCTTCATGAATTATCATTTTCTAAAATATAAAAAAGAATTTTTAATTAAATTATTATCTAAAGGTAATGAAATATAACTTTATAATTTTTATAAACAGATCGAAAAATTTGAGCTAATAAATTGAAATACATAAACAAGATATTTTCTCTGATTCAAATGTGAAATTACATATTTCATAGGTGATTGTTTCTCTCTAAATATCGAACTTCTATTAAAACATCCTTTAAATAAACCGTTGATATTTAAATCTTGTTTTTAATAAATGAAAAATATCTTTCTGACAACATTTTTTGATTATATAGTCGATGAAATAAAAATAAAATTTCAATTATTTTAATAAATAATCTAGAAATTACTATCGATATAGTTTATTCAATTCTTTATGATCAATTTAATCATTTTAAAAAAACTGGAAATTATCGAATTTTATTTAATTTTTAAATTTGCATACAAATAATACTCATATACAACAATCCAATGAAGTTATAAGTGTATCAAACTATTGATATACAAGCGAACATGAAAATCAGTCATGGATATCGATTAAACATGCTGCATTAGATAAAACTATTTCAATATTTTTTTTTCTTTCTTTCTTCTGCTTCGTTTGAATACGTGTAGCCTAGAGTTGGACATGTGAAAATCAAGCCATGCTTGGTTGCTTCTATTAATAGCTCACAACAGTGGACGTCCTTCGAAAATGAAGACATGTGGGATTGAGCATGATAGAAGGAGACTATCAATAGAATGATGGTACAGTATATTGAGTGAAAGAAAAAATGATTGTTTTTGTTACTGTTCATCTAAAAGATACAGTTGTCTTGCGAAATATAGAAAAGAATGTTTCTAGTTATATATTGCAGGATAAGCTTTCAAAAAAAACCTTGACTTTTGCTAATTATTGAAAAAATAGTTTGAATGAGTCAATTTAATGAAAACTGTTTGCTCTTTTGGTTAGAAAGCTTAATATAAATTTGAATTAAGATTTTACTTCATGGTGTCTATCAATTGTTTTGTAAAACCATACATCCTCACATTTAACAAAACTTATAATAAACTGAATATATGTTTTTGAGCTGAGACAAATAACAACACGTTACCCATGCTTATTCTAAGTATTTGGTATTGATTTCTAAAAGCAAAGAAGAGTATATGTTAAGGGTTTATTTTTATTGAAAAACAAAGTTATAAAAAAAATAAAAAAAATAAAAAAAATAAAAATAAAAATATGCGAGAATAAATAATAAAAAACCAAAAAATAAAAGAAAGTAAGAAAAAAAACTAGCTGGTTTATAATGTCTTTTTATGTTGATGCTGGTCGATGGCGATACTCCATTGTTTATGTGGATTTGTAATGGTGTCATCGTATGTCCTACAAAACAGAGTAAGTAAATTTATTCAGTATAAAAATAATTCGAAATAGTAATCTCAAACAATCTATTATTGATGAAATAAAATTTCAGCAAAAATCTTTACACAGTACATACCTGGTCTGTTACGTTGCATCAATTTATTCGAGTATTCTTCCCATCTTGAGGAAGTAATATAGGGTCATCTATAAAGGTCATCCAGTAGAAGATCGCTTATTTTGACTGCCTGTTTGCGCATGTATTGATTTTTCTGACACCTTTCTTTTTGATGTCTAGTTTACAGATTTGTTTACACCGTTGGGTGAGGGTGTGGGTGTAGGTGTAGAATGAATACAATACGCACACCCACACCCACCTCGCCCCTCAAAGAAATAAATCAACCTGTGGTATTTCACTACTAACTGGGATTTACAGAACAGGAATAGTCTAGGTCTTAAAGCTTTTAATCACCTCGAGAGGTTCCCTCGTAAGATATCTGTAGAAGCAAATTATCGATGTATACTTCACTCTATTAGAATCTTCAGTTTAAGTATGCTTATTATTGTTTTAGCTCTAATAATGACGTTATATGGTCGTCTGTTTTGTCCGTATGTCCGCTGGTTAGCGCGAAAAACTATAGTTGTGGAGACGAGTACATAAAATTTGTTGGTATAAAGATATTATTTTTGATTTGAGAAAAATGCAATTATAATCTTTTTTTAAACTCTAAGGATTATCAACAGATGAAATAATAGGAACAGCTGTTTCTCGATGATAGACTAAAGGGTCGTGGGATGCCATTGTAGGAAGATTTTGCTGGTGGATCTTGTATGAACCAACAATTAAGGAGCTGTTAACTGACCTGGTTGTAGATCGTAGTATACCATCAATTGAACAATTTGCATATGTAATAAGCTTAATTAACAACTGTACTTTTAAATATATTAATGACGCTTTAATTTGAGTAGTAGAATGGAGTAAATGTCTCTAATGAATGTTGTTCGAAGTGTGGGTGTGTGTGAGTGGGTGGAGGGTGTGGATGTGGGTGTGGGTGTGGGTGGGTGTGGGTGGGTGTGGGTGTGGGTGGGTGTGGGTGTGGGTGTGGGTGAGATAGTACAATTACCTCAATCTAACAATCTCATCCACACCCACCCACTCACACACACACACACCCATACCCACACCCACCCTCAAGATGTTGATGGTGAAAGAATCGGTGAAGAAGTAGTTGCTGGTTTATCAATAGTAATAGATGACAAGGATGATGATATCGATGAGGATGAAGGTATTAATAATGAGATCAGCTGTGCTGTTGGATCAGCTGCAAAATGATTTACATCGATAGATAATAATAATGGTGATGGTGTTAATATATTGGCTGTGAATAACATCTATATCAGCATCAGTATGTGTATTACAATTTGAATAAACTATTAATGTTATTAGTAAATTCGGTGTTTCCGATAAAATAAACTGTGATTGTGTTTCTGTAGATGAGAACTTCGATTCGGAATCGTTTAGTTTTTGTTATTTTTATGTAGATGCTGAAAAAAAGGATGAGATAGTTCTTGTCTTCGAATTATTAGAATTCATTTATTCTTATTTGTTTACTGATCGAAGATTGTAATTTTTCATTTACTTTTCTCTGTGACTGTGAGCTACAGCATATAACGTAAGAAGCTGATTAGTGCGCTTGAAATCTAATAATATTAGTGAGAGAAAGATGACGTTCAACTAAGTTAAGTCTACGTTACCTTGACACCACCGATAATTCAACATTTAAGGCTACTGTAAATGATCCTAATTCATTGAAACATTTTAAAGTCAAATGATGGGTGGGGGGAGCTGAACACCCCCTCTCTCCCCACGGTTACGCCACTACTTCCTAATGGACTAATGCTCCACTGCCATCATATTCTTAACCTTAAAGCAGAATAATTCTAAACTATCCCGGGCACTTCGACATACTAAATAGATAATATCATACAAACATGCAATTGTAATGGACTAATTCATGACAAATGAATAACTCATATAAAAACTTTATTCACAAAACTTCTTCAGGTCCACGCAAAAATGTCGAGTTCATTATATGGTGGAGGAACATACGACAAATGAATAATTCATATCAAGATTCTATTCAAAAATTTTGTTCAATTTTCAGTGAAGATTTCGATTTCATTTTATGATGGAAGAGTACCGAACCAATGAATAATTCATATAAAGATTTTATTCAAAAAATTTGTTCAATTCTGAGCCACGATTTCGAGTTCATTATACGGTGAGAGTATCCAACCAATGAATAATTCAGAAGAAGATTCTATTCAAAAAATTTGTTCAATTCTGAGCCACGATTACGAGTTCATTATACGGTGAGAGTATCCAACCAATGAATAATTCAGAAGAAGATTCTATTCAAAAAATTCGTTTAATTCTAAGCGACGATTTCGAGTTCATTATATGGTGGAGGAACATACGACAAATGAATAATTCATAGGAAGATTTTATTCAAAAAATTCGTTTAATTCTAAGCCACGATTTCGAGTTCATTATATGGTGGAGGAACATACGACAAATGAATAATTCATATCAAGATTTTATTCAAAAAATTTGTTCAATTCTAGGCGAACATTTCGAGTTCATTATATGGTGGAAGAGTACCCAAACAATGAATAATTCATAACACAAACATTCATTTTAAATGTTTGGTTTAGTTCGAAGTAAAGATTTCTTGTTCACTACATGGTGGAGGAGTACCCAACAGATGAATAATTCAGAAGAAGATTCTATTCAAAAAATTTGTTCAATTCTAGGCGACGATTTCGAGTTTATTATATGGCGGAGGAACATACGACAAATGAATAATTCATACCAGGGTTCTATTCAAATATTTTTTTCAGTTCAAAGCAAAGATTTCAAGTTCATTACGTAGTGGAGAAACACACGACAACTGAATAATTCATATCAAGATTCCATACAAATATTTTTTTCAATTCGAAGGGAAGTTTTTGAGTTCGTTACATGGTGGTCGAACACACGACAAATAAATAATTCATACTAAGACTCTATCAAGATATTTTGTTCAGTTCTAGACAAAGATTTCGAGTTGATTACATGATGGAGAAACAAATAGCAAGTGAATAATTCATACTAAAATTCTTTTCAAAAAATTGGTTCCGGTAGTGGCTAAGATTTTGACTTTATGACATGGTGGAGAAACATAGGATAAATTAATAAGTCATAAGAAGATTCTATTCAAATATTTTGTTCAGTTCTAAGCAAAGATTTCGATATCCCTTCGTAGGGGTGGAACACTCGGGAAATGAATAATTCATAGTAAAATTCTTTTCAAAAAGTTGGTTCCGGTAGTAGCTAAGATTTTGATTTTATGACATGGTGGAGAAACATAGGATAAATTAATAAGTCATAAGACCAAGACTTTACTCAAATGGTGTGTTCGGTGCGAAGCAATTATTTCGAGTTCATTACATAGTGGAAGAACGGGCGACAATTAAATAACTCATAGCAAGATTCATTGCAACTATTTTATTCAGCTGTTAGAAAAGATTGTGAGTTCGTTACGTGGTGAAGGAGCATGTAATCAATGAATAGTTCATATCAAGATTCTATCTAAATATCTTGTTTAGTTCGGAAAAAAGATTTTTAGTTCATTACACAATGGATGAACACACGCGACATGAGCCGCGCAAACAACGATTCATGTCAAAATTCTGGTGCAGTTCGAAGGAAACATTTCAAGTTCAACTCATAGTGGGGTAACACACGACAAATGAATAATTCATAATAGAATTCTAATCAAATATTTTGTTCAATTCTAAGCGGAGATTTCGAGTTCATTACATTAAATAGATGCACACGACAAATGAATAATTCATAACCAAATTTTGTTCAAATATTTTGTTCAGTTCGAAGCGTAGGTTTCCAGTTCATTGCATGGTGCAGGAACACACAATAAATGAAGAATTCGATTCAGATTGTGTTCAAATA